ATAAAACACAAAGAAAAGCGGAGCAGGGCAGAGGCATCGTCACGGAAGCCTCATGGGTCGCTCAAGGTCAAAGCGAACGCGCCTCAGAAATAAAACACAAGGAAAAGCGGAGCAGGGCAGAGGCATCGTCACGGAAGCCTCATGGGTCGCTCAAGGTCAAAGCGAACGCGCCTCAGAAATAAAACACAAAGAAAAGCGGAGCAGGGCAGAGGCATCGTCACGGAAGCCTCATGGGTCGCTCAAGGTCAAAGCGAACGCGCCTCAGAAATAAAACACAAGGAAAAGCGGAGCAGGGCAGAGGCATCGTCACGGAAGCCTCATGGGTCGCTCAAGGTCAAAGCGAACGCGCCTCAGAAATAAAACACAAAGAAAAGCGGAGCAGGGCAGAGGCATCGTCACGGAAGCCTCATGGGTCGCTCAAGGTCAAAGCGAACGCGCCTCAGAAATAAAACACAAGGAAAAGCACAGCAACGCAATGCTTCGTCACGGAAGCTGTCGGGAGGCCGGCAATGTTCGCCGCGCCTGCGCAGTGGGGGAGCGTGATGTCCCCGCCTAGTGCTGTGTGAAAAAGGAAGACGTGGCGCGCTGCTTGTAGGAATGCGCTGCGTGTAGGATTGCTTTCGCATTCCTACACGTATGCACTCTTAAGCTCTGACGAATTTGTTTTTAGGTTCCTCAGTGTCAGGCGCTTTTCAAAGAAGCAAAGTATTTGATACGGTTAGTTTCCTAGTAGGCTGCAGAAAAAAAAAAATTAAAAGTCCTGAAATTTGTCCGAATAAAAAAAATTAGTATTTCTAGCAAAAACAAACGTAATTTTTACAGTCTGAGACGTGCTACGTTAAAAGAAGACGGCCCCAACCCAACCTTAACTTTTGTATCTTTTTATCAGCCATCTGCCATCTTCGTCAGTTTTTAATAACGTTACTTAAGCACTCAGTTGGGAAACTCCCATAGAAACAGCTCTGAAAAAGTGGCCCCAATCTGTCTCCGAGCACCGAGCTAATGACGAACACAACGCCACCATTTCTCCCGCAGCGGCCACTCGAGGAACTGTACATTACTTCAATTTTGGCTTTAAGAACAGATACAGCGGAAGAGGGTACAGGGGTGCCACCCCCGTCTCCCCGGCGGACGTGCCGCGTCGAACTACCGGAGTTAAAATGCACCTAGGTCGGGACGCGCTACCTGAAAGGACCGCTGAGGCATGGTTGTATAAAAACAATATTAATTGTGCCGCAAAAACCTGCAAACTAAAGATTTTAAAAACATAACGCGCCTCTCTTTTTGTACTAATCTCCAATAAATTTCATACAAAAAGAGTCTTTCCGTTTGTTTTTACGAAAAAACAGGCTTTCAAAAGCTCAAGGTGACCACAGTACAGACAAACGATAAAGAGTGGCGCTGTTGTCGCATTTAGCTTGGTCTCGGCGGACGCCAGCGGCCCAGGTTTTGACGGCGAGTTTCCCAACTGAGTGTTTTAGTAACGTTGGTTTTTACCGAGATACAAATAAATTTGTGTTTGGAGACAGTCTGATCGGTTTGACCACTTATAAGCAATGTATACGCTTCGTGTATTATTTTCTCTTTTTTTTTACGTTTTTCGTTTTGAATATTATTATTACACGAATTTTCTTAACGTTTTGTAGTGTTTGGCTTTTTTTTCTTTTTTTCAAGCATGGTATAAACTAGCAGGACTTAATGAAATTGTAATGGTTGGATGGCATGTTACCAGAGTGCAAATTAGGTATTACTTTTCCTATTTCTTTTTATTAAAGAAAGAAAACTGTGCCCACGTAAGTATCACGTAATTTTTTGACAACATGAAACCGTCTAGATTTATATTTCTTTCTAGAACGAGTGAAAATTATATGGGTCATGTGCTGTGTCTTTGTAAGGAGTATACGTAAATCCAAGGTCGGCTTGCTTGGAACGAACAGAGCAAAACATACTGACAGTTGGTTGGGAACAACGGTATGCCCAGCCTTCTAATTTAACTCGATTAACCGAACGATTCATTATCCGGCCTGCACAGGAGAACAATGCTTTAGATCGGGTCTGTCAGCCAATTAAAATATCGCTTTCTCTTTTTGTTCCGCCCCTAATCGAGGTCTGTCACGATAGTCAGATGGGTTTTATTATAAGATTTTGTAGCCCCGTGTTTTATTTATAGACAAAGGCTTGAAACAGCTGAAAAAAAAAAAGACTGTGCATGCGCGTTGTGAAATATCGAATCAAATAATAGTTTGACCCATTTTTTATTTTTTATAAATTATACTTTTAATTACCCATGAAAACATACATCATGACGTGATCATCTGCATCTACCTTCGCGTGCCACACGCAAGAAAGAAGTCAGCATTTTTATTATTTTTAGTTTATTGCGTAAGATCTTCGCATGCACTAATTAGCTCGGAAAGTTGCGCAAGACCTGAACAGATCGACCCCGACGTAAACAACCTTTTCATCTCTCCCTCACAGGAATGACAAAAAGAAGCTCTCAGCTCGAAATAATCTCTCGAGTGCTCTAACGAACGAATAGTGAAACAGCTGCTGCCAGAAGGTCGATGCCGATTATCAGCACTCGCCTACCACAAGGAACGTCGTCATCGCCTCCACTCGTTTAAAACCCGCACGCGAAGTGATCGGAGAGAACCGTGGCACCAAAGGGAACAACACCCTGTCGCCACGCGTGCGGGTTGCGTGGGTTCTTCCAGGAACACCTAGCTCGTGTATCTGCCTACTCCAAGCAGCGTCGGGCTGTCGTTTCCGTGGCTCCAGGAAGACCCTCGCCTTCTTGCAATCGCGTCGGTGAACTTGCTCGCTCGCTGCTCTCTCTTCGGAGTCCTGTATTCTTCTCCGCTTCTTCCAGGTGGGCGGAGTATTGTCGACCTCGAGCACTGCCGCGGACGATGCTGGCACCGTGGGCCGTGCTGCGAGCAGAACAAAAAAGAAGCTTCTTCCTTGTCTTATTGCGTGTGGCAGCTCTAGGTCTCTCTTCTCTTACGCGATGCCCAAAAAGGCACCGTAATGTTGAGTCTTCTTAAATGTTGGTTAACCTTTTTTTTTTTTTTTTTTTTTTTCTTGGGTGTTGATTGAATTTCTGTCTTGAAGTCGGGGAATTATTGTTGGAATGCCCCGTTCAAAGCTGAGCGGCGCGTTCTGTGTGTCTCTCGGTGTTTGTCCAGATGGCCGACCGAGGTCTCGGAAGTGCGTGGGTGGCCGAGGTATAGGGGGAGAGCCGTGAGCTGAAAAATGATCCGCTTCGGGTGTTGCTGAGTGCGCTGCGCCCTTGAACTGGGCATGGCTGCCTCGCCCAAACTGCCCGCTTAATAGCAGTTGCGCTGCACGAACCTCACAAAACTACTGCTGAAACAACAACAACAACAAGCAGAGCTCGTAAACATATTCGTCCTCACGTTTGAACGTGACAAACAGGCCACAAGCAAAGATGTTTGTGGCCTTTATTGGGACACAAAAAAACATTCGACTCTCTAGCTTCTGTTGATACCACATTGATCCAAAAGCCTTATGAGAAATTTATAAATTTGACACCTGCATACAACAGGAAAGCCTTCGACTGTTCGGTGCTGTATGTGCCTTTACTGGTTCTTTATTTTTAACTTGATATATATTTTATTGCATCCGTATATTTGTGTATAAACCTTTGGGGATATCTTGACCGTCCTATTAGTTTAGGTCTCCTTTGTCTTAGGTCACCACAATGAACCTTAACCAGCCAGCTTCCTTCTTTTAGCTTGAACGTAATAAATTATATGGGCTGTATTGCCATGTAAAACTTTTATATGTATGCTTACGTCCGAATGCAAACATGTGCTATTTGAAAGGAAACAGAAAAAAATTGGCATCGAATTATTTGGTTTCCTGCTGATTCCCAAGGTAAATAAAAATGATAATTATTGAATGAATTTTCTCTTCAATAGCAATAATATCAGAGCTGGGCAGTATCGAAGATACATGCATCTTCGATACTATCTTTCGATACAGTTGAGTATCTTGTATCTGGTATCGCTTGCCAGAAAAACATGTATCGAAGTATCGGTATCGAAGATACTTTTTGAAAGTATCGTGTATTGTAAAAATACCCGATACTTGCAAAAGTGCGCTTCTAAATCGAGGCTGCGTTTTCTTTCACTGTTGTTCAGGGGAAGCTAGAGCATAGAAGGCCTCCGAAAAGACAACATCAAGTAAACAAATCTTGTGTCCGCGGCTAGAACAACAAACAAAGAAACATGATCGAAAGAAAGTCGAGCGGTTTCGCAATCTGTGCACGGGCATTGTCCTTTTTTTTGTGTGTCTATAGCAAACCCGGGTTGCACGGCCGCCCAGAGCACTACAGGAGCCAGGCAGGAGGGCGCCGTCTGCAAAACGCTAGGCGGCCAGGCTGAGCTCTGTCCCTGGTTTTCTCTTCCGCGGAACTTCACTTGATATTTCCGACTGTATGGTGCGCACTTCGCAGTCCCAGTCTTGGAGTTGTAAGTTATTTGTTCCGCCGTGTCGACGGGCTAGCAATGGCAGACAACGACAATACTCCTCGCTGTGCCATCTTGGACGGGAAGTATTTTACCGTGATTTCATCTAGGCACGACAGAGCAAAGGCTGCCTGTTCGTTTTGTAAAGCGACCATCTGTGGCGCCTACTCGTCAACCTCGAATTTCAAGCTTCACTTAAAGGTAGGTGCAGAATCAACATAAATTAGATTTTTTGTTTGCTTGTAACGTGCCAAGAAATGCATTGAGTCGAAGAGAGTGTATCTATATGTATCTAATTTTTCAGTGCTGTCTTATGTATCAAAACGGTGCATTTGCATAGCTTACGGAAGTACGCTTTGTGTGATATTACTTGTGTGGCGGCTATATAATTAATCGATACTTATTTTGTTTCAGCGCGTGCATCCACAAGAGCTAAGAAGGTTCGATGAGTACAAAGAAGGGTGGAGAAAACAAGCAGTCAAGAGAAAGGCTGACGCCCCTGCTGACAAAATGCGCCAAACGAAACTGTTTTGCCCTCCCGGGAGTCAACTGACTCAGCCTAAAGTAGACAATCTGATCGTCAAGTTCGTTGTGGATGGGTTGCATTCATTATCGACATTCGAAGAGCCAGGCTTCATACAGCTTGTAACAGGTGAGCTTTCAATTCTATGCGAAATCAGACTGCATTATAATTGTACATTGTCTCTTTTTCTATTTTAGGCTTGCACCCAGGGACTAGTGTGATGTCGCGACGCTCCCTCGGTCGGCGAATTGATGAGGAATGGGAAAAGTTTCTGGATGACGCGCGAGAGAAGTTGTCTGGTCAAAGCTATGTTGCAACCACAGCTGACATCTGGTCCACTCACCATCGTAGCTTCATGGGTGTCACGGTTCATTGGGTAAGCGCTTTGTGTTTTGAATAAAACAAAATGTGTCCCTTTCCTTCACTACCGTGGCAAAGGCAGTGGTAACACAGAATGTGTACGCATTATTTTGGGGAGTTTCCATCAGCTTGCTGGAAACAGCGTCTCCGGAAGAAAGCCCTGCCAAAAGTAGCGCTCGAGCGGGAGTGGAACGCGTAGGTCACGTAGATTTTATGCTTCGCCCACGTATAAGGTGAATCGAAGCATATGGTTTCCTCATAGAGCGGTAGTACAGTGGTTAGGATATCGGATTCACAGTATGAGGGTCAGAGATTCGTAAAAAAGTCCCTAGTAGTTCAGTGTTTAAGACATCGGATTCATAATCTGAGGGACGCTGGTTCGTATTGGAGCGCTGCCGGTGTCTTTTATATTTCAATTTTCGTGTTCCGCACCTTCGTTACCTAGAAGGCGTCGCCGGAAGTGCCTGAGGCCATTCCTATAACATATTCTGTATTAAAAAGTAGAAATTGTGGAAAATCATGATTAAGTAACTACTGAATGATAATATCTGTATATATATTTAGATCGATGCTGACACCCTTTCTCGGAGGTTGCTCGCACTGGCCTGCAGGAGGTTTCCTGGAAGCCACACGTACGACAGGATAGCTGAAATGCTGGAAGACATTAGGCAGTCCTTCGACATCTCGCGGGAGAAGGTCGTAGCCACGGTCACGGACAACGCCAGCAACTTCGCCAAAGCCTTCAGGGAGTTCGACTTTTGTTCTGAGATTACTGACCAGGGTAAGGGTAATGCTGTACTTATTATCAAACAATTTTTCAGATTTTTTAAGGACTGATTTACGTCTGTCTCAATAACCTAAACCCAAGTGGGTAACGTGCGATTACAAATGCAAGAAGTGTGAAAAATATCCGTCATGTTATGCACCGATTCTAATTTTCCTCTTGTCTGGTGCAGCTGACTTGGTTAATTTTTTTGATATATATAATTCTTCTTTTGATACGCAATACAAATAATTGAAGATGAAGCCACTGGAGCTAATGAAAACGAGAGTGTTTTTGATTATTGCACAACTGTTTTTCTTTTAGTTTCTATGAATATGTGTTATTCACCGTAAAATGTTTCCAAACATGTAATCTTGAGTGCTGTTTTAAGTATTTCGGCTAAATGTGTTCCTTTTTTAACTGGCAGATGATGTCGCCGCCGATTTGTCCTTTGAAATTATGGTCGAACCCGACAACCTGGACGATGCTGAAATCAACTTGCCTCGTCACCTTCGATGCGCATGTCACACGCTGAGTCTTGTGGCAACTTCAGATGCGAAGGCAGTCTTGTCGACACCGTCCTTTGAACGTGCTAACACATCGGTCATGTCAAAGTGTTCGGCTCTATGGAACTGCGTTCGAAGACCCAAGTCGTCTGAAGTTATTGTGGACATCCTAGGGCATTCTCTGAAGACGCCATGCGTAACACGCTGGAATTCATTGTATGACAGCATGAAAGACCTCCTTCGCTCGAAGGATAAACTGCGAGATGTCTGCGATGGACTAAATCTGCAGACATTTCAAGAAAGAGACTTAGCATTTATTGCCGAGTACTGTGAGATCCTGCAGCCCATCGCCTCCGCTCTGACGCGACTCCAAGCGCAGTCCGATTGCTTCTTCGGGGAGCTGCTGCCAACGCATTTTACCGTAAAATCAAAGCTTCAGGAGAAGGCTGGTATGGACTTCGTCTACTGCAGACCACTTTTGGATGCGGTTACATCTGGGTTCATTCGCAGATTTGACGAGCTTCTGCGAATGAAACCAAGTGCAAATGAAGCGACTGTTGCTGCTGTTCTTCACCCTTACTTTAAGTTATGGTGGTTGTCACGAGAACCTCAAGATGTCCGCGAGCATGGCCAGCAACTCACAGAAAAAGCTGTAATTGACTTTGTAAATGCAACCAAGCATACCACGCGTCCTTTGGCGTGCGCGCCATCAACCTCTGCAGCCTCTGACGTATCGGCTGATGCATTCTTTTCTTTTGAAGCCCACTGCGGCACGAGCCCCAGTTGTCAGGAAGATCAAGTCAAACTTGAGTTCCTGGGCTACCTGCAAGATCCTCGAGTTGAATTTGATATGCTCCGCTCCTACCCTTCTCTGAGAAGCGCCTTCATTAGATACAACACCTCAACGTGCTCCTCGGCTCCTGTAGAACGGCTGTTCTCCTTCGCGTCGCTAATCTTACGCCCGCATCGTGGCGGACTTTCAGACCGGCGTTTTGAGCAAATGCTTCTGCTTAAGGCTGCGGTCCCACGGGTGCCATCGTGACCGAAGGGCTTTTCAACCGCCAGGGCGGCAAAAACGGCAGCAAGCTCTTGCGCGACAATATTACAATAAAGCGACCAGAACGAAAAGAAGCAAAACATGGTGCTAAATTGCTGCCTACTTGTACGTCTATCTAAAAGTGTCTGTCATTTCTTGAGGATTCAGAACGCAAGTAAACTCAAGGCACTAATATGAAAACGAGACAGACACCGACTGCCATGTCTGTCTCATATTTCTGTGTGTCCCTTCTTCTTACTTGCGTTCTGAATCCTCCTCATGAATGTTTAACCAACACGCTCTCCTGATTCTTTCAATGCCTGTATTTGTTTTTCGAGCTTCAGCCCCCGACAGCGACAGTAGGGAGTTTCAGTATATCGTTTTCATTAGATCGATACCACTCCATGCGCGCGCTTCAGAGCATGCTTCGATGTGGCAGCGCGAGCTCCCAATACAAATATCTTTCCCTGAAAACACGATCTACTATAACTCGTTAACACCACATAGTCCGTGTTTCTGAAAAAAACTTGCGGAGACTAAAACTCAATTATAGATAGAACGTTTTGGTTTGGTAGATTCTGTGGATTTGAAATAGCGTGTACTTTATACCTCGCTGCTCTCTTGGCTCCAATATTTTTACGGAGGTTCGTACGTTTGTGTAAACGTTTGAAAAAAAGACGCAATATAACAAACACAAGAATTCAACTAATACCTTTGTTAATTAATCTAAAGCTATAAGATACACCCATTTTAAAGTACTTCGGATGAGGTTTTAGCGATGTATCGAGGTATCTAAAATACAGTATTCAGTATCTGTATCGGAGATTAGTTTTGCATCTGTATCTTGTACCGGTATCTCAAATACAATTTTCGAGGGTATCGAGTATCGGTATCGAAGATACAATTTCGAAGTATCTTGCCCACCCCTGAATAATATAATCTTTTTGCTCAGCCCATACAATTTTGCTGGCTTCAGAAAGCAAGCAACGCAGGCGCTGCGCGGATGAAAGTTGAAGGAGCCCCTCATGGAATGGTGTGTCCATATCAAAGGTGAACAGCTATGCACAACATACACATTTGCTATACTTGCCTTCACAGTTCATGGGTCAAACTAACAAATGCTGTGCTGATCACGTAAAAAAAAAGAATACGGCAACAAAAAAATAAACGGTAAAGCGGCTCTTCACTATTACAAACCCGAACGTCAAAGAAGATCGGCTGGCTCTCATTCGAAGCGTGTCTCGCACGCACGCGCACGCCAAAAACCAAAACTCTTTATACTGCAACCCGTCTTTGAACAAAGAGAAACACGATCGAGAATCCACATCTCACAGAGAGAAGGCACGACGAGCAGCGAAGGGAACCCAAACCACCAGCGTGATTCACAAACGCGAACCGAACAAGCGGTAATTTTCCCATCCGCCCATTTCCTCGTGTAGCATTTCGCAACCGAATGAAGACACCCTGTCGTCGGCGCGGCCATGGCTCTAACCGAAACGCTTCACCCCGAGAATGCCGTGCTCGGGAGGTGTACCCGCGCCGCGCTCGCCTCTGCATAGAGAGCCTAGATTTGAGAGAGAGAAAGCAATTCAAATGATGCGTTTGCAATAAAATGGCGGACCCTTCCTTCGCAAATTGGTGGTTACAAGCGCGCATCCACGCGTCGCCACGTGGCGAGGAGGATAGCGGGGAGAAGCTAAGCAGAGGTGGGAGACGCTTGAGGACGATAAACCCTTGCTCCTCGCATCGGGTGTTGCCAACGCGTACATAACCTTATGACCGCGAGCTCTATCGAAAAGTTGGAAGCACTCCCAGATCTAGGCACACTATCTCTACACGTTGGCGGCGCTAGCGAGACTGCACGCCGCGCATCGAGGAGTCAGACCTTGACCCGTTCCACTGGAGGAGAACGCTGTTGTCTTTGATCCTGGCGCGGCCACTCAAACTGTTCTAAATTGCCGGCTCAATCTGCGCCACGAAGTTCCGTCACCGTTGTGTCAACAATCGACGTCGTGTCGTTCAAAGTCGATTTCTTTTTCTTTTTATTGTTTTGTTTTTGAGAAAGTTCGTAGAAAGGAGACGAGGTTCGGCATACCGTGGAACTGACTTTGGCGCCTTCAAGTTTCAATTAAACGGGAAAGCGCTAAGCGTTGCTGAAGGAAATTTGCTTGGAGGCGAAACCTTTGGGAAAGAATGACTCTTTCGAGTATGACGAACGGGAGAATATAAAGTGTCTATAGGAGACGTCGTGAGACGGCAACGACAAAGAAATTAGGCAACTCGACGGGCGATCAATTTCGACGGAATTGCGCCGGGGCCGCAAGGACACTGGTCGGCATTCCTACGAAGATTGCGGGAGTGGAAAAGTGGCCTCGTGCAGCCATTCGACACCTCGGGCGTGCTTTATCGGCGACCACTCTAGAAACTTCCGCGTTACGAGCGCGATGCTCTGGCTGTGGTTCTAGACGCATTCACGTATGCCGAGTCTTTGAGCGCAATCGCAGCTTTTATGTAGTATGAAGAAATGCTGTAGAGGTGAGAAATAAATATATAGCTCTACAACGTGATTGTCTCATTTTCTTGCGGACGTAAGGCTTTTTTATAGCGGTGTGTTCAAGTAGGTCTTGAGTTCGCATTTAAACTGGTGCGAATCTGTAGAAGTTTCAATTAATTAAGCCGTATACTTTATCGAGGCGTCTTGGGTTCACTTTCCGACCTGCTTTGTGTCAGCGTAGGGACAACATTTGCTTTGCCTACATGACACCACCCGCGAAAGCATACCGAAATAGAATTTACCTGACAAAAGTTTACCAAAAGGTGTCAAAGTCGTGTTAAGATACACGAGAGATAACATTACGCAAAAGCAGAAAGCGGTTCGGCCTACAGATTAAAAGTAAAAGAGAGAAGCTACCCTTTGTTGTAGTGGAACAATTTCACCCAAAGGATTATCTTTTTTACGGTTTCCCAAACGGCGGCTCTGAGATGTTTTCCCAAAATATTCTGGTAGATTGGGCTTAGATGTATTCGCTGGCGTCTTTACCGAGCTCTAAATAATTCGCTGCTCTTGCGTTGTCTAAATATATACGAAACTGCACTCGTTTATTTTAATTTTTTCCCCTCTGGGTTTCTAGGGTAAACACAAACTATTTGCAAAGAGGAAGCGAAGCCGCTTCAAGAAGTTGGAAGAGAGGCGAGCTCGGAGAGACTTGAAACGCGCTCTAGATGCATGAGAGCGCTCGGCTATCTGCATCATTTCAATGATGGCAGTTTGGGGCAACGAGTGAGTCGTCCCAGAAAGTGGTACGGTTCTCGAGCTCCGTTCGGACGTGCACCCCTCGTACACACACACACACACGTTCATGCCTGAGAACTACGCATCTCATGAAATGGTCAAGAAACAGCGTCTCGAAATAGACGAAGAGAAATGAGCCCACTCCAGGAAGTTTGCCCCAGAAAAAAGAAGTGCATCACCGAGTGCATACACGCACACGCTCCCCCCCATCTTTGTGCGGGTCCGCGCGTAACCCGTCTTCTTCGCTAAGCGTTATTATTATTATTTTTGGGGGGCTCGTTGTTCAAACGTCTTGTGGGAGCGCTGAAACAATGCTAAATATGGAGACTGTTAACGGTTCTCCCGAGAAACAAAATTCATTGATCATTAAAAAAAGAAAAAGAAAAAAAAAAACACACGCATGTACAGACACAAACGCGCACACACACACATACACACACGCACGCAAGCACACAGCATAAAGATACGACCCGTGTTTGGAAGTAGCTAGAAAATGACTATAGCTGTTTTTTCCTCAGTATTTCAGCTACTTCGGTGTATCCAAACAATACCAAATAATCATGTAGTATAGTGCGAATGCACCGGGATAGATGATTGTGTTGCATGTATGTTCAGAAAATCTACAAACAGATTCCAACGCAAGGCACTGCGAGATCCCTGCTTCGAACGCCGCAAGGCAACGAGTTCAAGGAGGAAACTTGGCACGCGGCATTCGAACCACGAATATTGCGGTGACTGATGTCCGGCAAATTGTCTTTTGTATATGATGTATAAGAGTGTGACCCCGGCTTTAGTTTCAATCAGTAGCTTACACCCCCCCCCCCCCCCTTTTTTCCTTTTCGTCCTTTCCTCTTACACACATCTAACACACCACCAGACTCCTAATCTGGAAACTTGATGAAAAAAGTCGGCGAAGGATTTGGTGGCCGTGATTGGCCGGTGCCGCGCTTGACTTTGGCACCGGGCAGTCACTGCAGTCCTTGTCGACGTTTTTGCCAGGTGTCCAAATTAGAGTCCCGAGTTGAGTCCAACATTCCCTCGGAATTTCTTACCCGAAGTACACAACATAGTACACCCCCGCCCCCTCCCCCTCCCTCCCCCCACCCCCCCACCCCCCAAAAAAAAGAAAACACACACACACACACAGACAAAAAAAAAAAAAAAAAAAAAACAGACTCCTGGATGGTGGCTCTGTGGAGCGAAAGCCCGCGCTGCAGAACCCAGGGATCCTAGGCCGAACCCCTGGTCATTTTGACCTGGATTAGCAGTGTACCTGAGGTGCGGTCGTGTCTACATCAAGATGCACGTTAAAAACCCGCACTCGAACTGCACTGACAAAATCGTTCGTCTATACATTTCTGGATAGCACATTTGCCCAATGGGCGCGTGATGTTGCGTCTGCTGTAGATATATAATTAAGTCAGTGCAGTATATACCACTGCTAGCATCAGGCAGTAATGGCTACACGAACACACGCCGATACGATGCCCATACATACATTTAATATAAACGGGCACAGATGGAGACATTTGCGTTTCAAAATCGTGGCCTTTTTTTTTTTTTTATTCAATGCATGCGTATGAGCTCATGCGTATTTAGAAAACAAAGAAACATATGCGGCCCTTCTCTCTAATCTGCCCCTCCGGCGATTTCACGCTTCACTTAGCGGAAATAGTACGCAGGTCGAGGGGGTCATACACACGAACTCTGCCGT